ATGCGAGGAAAAGAAAAAGAATACAAAGTAATATATCAAGAAGGCACTGGAGAGCCTATTCCTTCTTAGTGGGAACTGCTCTTGCCCCCCCAAAGTGCCAGAATTTACCTTTCAAGAAATATTCATAAAATAAAAAATAAAAAAAAAATTACTGTATTTATCAAAAAAATTGATAGTTTTATGAATATTTATTAAATACTAATACACAATCATTTCAATATCTACTGAAACAACTTTGTTTTAATCTTGAAATGTATTAATATAATTTTTTATATTTTTTTACAAAAAAAAACAATAAAATAGTAATTAAAAAATAAAAATTGAAATTGAAATTGAAAAAATCTTTTTTTTGGAAAATTTTTTTTCTGTATGATTTTGTTGTAGCCCAAACGTCGCCATGTTTCAAGTTAAACTTGTATATCCCAAATCGGAATTCCTATTTCGGACTTCTCAAACTGCAATTTCTAATTTGGGATGATCATATCCCAAACTTGATCATGTTTCAAATTCAACTTGGAATATTCCAAATCGGATCTGGGATATAGTCAAGTTTGGGTGTCCGATACCTCAAACTTGACCGTATTCTAAACTAACCCAGTTAGTTTGGTTTATGATCAAGTTTAAAACATATTATATCAAATACAACCGTATCCCAAATTGACCTAGATAGATTTGGAACATGGTCAGATTTGAAGAATCGAATGTTCTAAACTTGACCATATCTCATTTGATCTACTGTAGGTAGATTTGGAACATGGTCTGGTTTGGTCTTGTATGTCCCAAACTCGACCATGTTCTAAATTGATTTGGGATATGGTCAGGTTTGGGGTATTAAATGTCCCAAACTTAACCATACCCCAGATTCAATTTGGGATATCCCAAGTTAGATTTGGGACATGATCATCCAAAATCGAAATTCCAGTTTGGGAAGTCTGAAATAGGAATTCCGATTTGGGATATCCCAAGTTTAACTTGGGACATGGTGACGTTTGGGCTACAACAATTTCTTTACGTTAAAATTTCTGTACAATTATTTTTGTATGGAAAATTGAAATAACTACACAAAAACTTTATGTTTTCAGTATACACCTGTACGAATCCAGTGCGAAACATGTTACAACTTTTTTTCATAGGGAGTTAGAGCAAGTTTTAAAATTTTTCTTCTCGAGATTAATATATCTAACGTTGGTTTGGATTCAACCTTCTTGTAAACTGAACTTCATGAAGTAGAAGTATTGTTTCTTTGATATTAAGAATCATATCTAACGACCTTTTTTTTTTTAGGTACGACGACTTTGGAAATAAACCCTTTGGAAATTGTGAGCGTCAATATAAATTTCACGTGATCGGTATAGATCTACTGAGTGAAAAGTCTATTTTCGTAAATATTTTTATTGTTAGAGAAATTAATTATTAATACTAGTTATGGGACATTTGTGTCCCAATTTTATCTAGTTTAGTTAATTTTAAGTTTATCAGTATTTGGTTAGATTTTTCATAGATCGCAGGACAAATCGTCACCCCCGGAGCATTGTGTCCCATTTCTGTTTAGTTTAGTTAGACTTTTTGTAGATCAATGGCCCTGGCCAAATTGTCATCCGGCCATTATGTTTCGAGGCCTCCGAACAATTGATCCTTGTTGAATTTTAAGTATAAAAAAGGTGGGATTTCGCTTGAGTAGAAAAGTGTGTGTTCCTAGATAATTAAAAAGATCGTATTTACCCCTTTCCCTTTTATTTATAACGAATAACGAGATATATTAATAAATTACGTATCTGATCGAATAGAGCGCCGACGATTGAAAGCAATACCTACGTAGATTTATGTTAGATTATATTTGGTATTGATAAATACATTTAATTCATTTTTATAAATAAACCTTCTGCTTACCTTTTCTATTGTTTATTATTAATAAACATCTGGAACTGGGTATTACGAATCAAAGTAAGCCCTCTGACGATCGATCTGTCATTCAACAATCAAAACGACCATTTATAACTTCAGGGATTAAATAATCTGTCTATCCTATCATCAGCCGAAATTGGAAGATATTTTATATCAAATAAGATGCATTAGGCCTATTACAAAGAGCCATTGAGGCAGTAATAGTTGATTAATTTGTATTTTATTTTATCTTTGTTAATAAATTTATTTCTTTTTAATTTTTTAATTTATTTAAAATTAATTGGCATTTGTCCATTTTTCGTTACATCGTACATCGTTGGAAAAAAACAAATTATTTTTAATTACCTCCCTTACGAAAATAGAAGGTAACACCAAGAATTGAAAATCAAAATTATTTTGACGATTGAATACCTATTACAAAAATTTTAAATTTACAGACTAAATTCGTTCATTTTTACAAGCCATCAACGGAATAACCAAAGTTTGATGTAAAAAAAAATATATCACATGTTTTTACATTTCAAGTCTGATAATCTAATGCCACCATCATGTCACAACAGAGTCATTTGTGTAAATTTTTTTTCTGGTTTTTGGCTGCGGATTTTAAATAATATGAAAATCACCAACCTATTGAGAAGGGATCGACTCTCTGTTTGTGCAGTACGATTATGAGAATATTCCAAAGAAAGATTGTATTTTATTTAAAATTTTTTTTCAAATGTTTTAACATTTTTTTTTTTTTTTTTAAACAAAACTAATTGAAAATATGACTTATAACAAATTTAAATTGCTTAACTTGTTCATTTTTTTGTTAAGCTATTTATTCTTTAAAGTTGGTTCATTTACTCCTGAAGGACGTTTAGCTCATTCTACTGTCCTTGTTGACAATAAGCTGTATTTTTTTGGCGGATATGTTGATAATGCTAAATCATGTACAAATCAAGTATTTTATCTCGACTTATCTCAATATTTTGATCTAACTGCTCCACCATGGATTTCCCTTACACAAATTTCCGAAATACCATTCAAAAGTTGCTGGGGAACTGCTTTATTGAATGATAAAGAACAAACTATATATTTATTCGGTGGATTTATGACCAATAATTTAAATAAAGATGAATTTGTATCAAATGTTCATTCATTTAATTTGAATTCCTTATCGTGGAATGTGCCTGATATCGAAGGAACCACACCAGAAAGACGAAGAAATATGAAGGGTGTTATTGATAATACTGGAAAAATATATATTTTTGGTGGATATGCTGATAAGTTTTTAGGTTCACCAACACTAATACGTAACAATGATATGGTCATCCTAAATACAGCTGAATTAGAATTATCATGGTTAATCATTCCAGCTAGTAAACCGTATGCGCAACATGCTTATACCGCAACACTATTATCTAATGGAGTTATTGTATATATTGGTGGTACAGAATTGCTTGAAAACACTGCAAAACATGTTGACATTAAAAACATTAATCTTTTTGATACAAATACCTTAACTTGGTCAGTGAAAGTATGTATAAATATAATAATATTTTACAAAATAATAATTAGAATTTAAAATAGTTAATATCAATTTATTTTTTTATAGGTTGTAACAGCTTCAAATATCATTCAAAATCGTATTTGTCATACGGCGATTTTAGGTATATATTTATTATTTAAGATTTTAAATATTTTTTAATATATTATTTATTCGCTCTTCTTTATTAAAATAGCCTCGGATGATAAGATAATTATTTATGGTGGTGCTAATAGAGCTAATAGTATAAAAGCTGTTCCAGATTTGTTCGTTTTAAATATGGAAAACGAACAATTTGAATATATAGTGCCGCCAGTTTATGGACAGCTTCCACCATCACTTTCGGCTCATACAGCTGATCTTTTTGAAAATTATATGATTATAACTTTTGGTAGATAAATTTTTTACTTTGCTTTATTGAAATATTTCAAATCTTTTAATTTTTTTAATTTATTTCGTTAGGAAATATTACACAACCAAATGACAATCCATTACCATTAAAAAGTTATAATATTTACATAATGGATATTAGAAATTATACGTGGGTTAATTCATTTGAGGTAACAAATACAAATATAGCGAAAAATTCTGACCCAAATAATTCTAATAAAATTATAATCGCATCAATTGGAGGAACAGTGGTCGCCGCTATAATTATGGCATGTGGATTTTTATTTTATAGATGGAATAAAAATAAAAAAATAAATGAACTATATCCTAGATACATTAATGAGGAACATACTTTGCCTGGAAATATTGTTGAACATAATAGTAGTACTTATATAACTAAGTAAATATTGCCTAAGTCATTACTCTAATGTTTAATGATAAATTTTCAACTGAAAATATATACTATATATATATATTATTTTTAAATTATCATCCCCTCATTATTATTATCCCCTATAAAAAATAGTTTAAAATTATTTATAAAAATTTCTATGTATATTAGGGTAAAAACGAATAATTATTCTTTTAATATAGAAGTCTGTAATATTTATTTATTCATTAAAGAATTTTTAAAATTGAGAATTTAATGTATTAATTAAAAGAGAACCCATATGGTTTGTTAGATTTTGATTTGGTGAAAATTTTCTGATCAATGTTAATTTTTTTCAATGACTCATAAATTCGGTAGTAAAACTTTTAAAATTTATATGCAAATAAAATTTGCAATTCTTAATTAAGACGTAATAAATACCAACATTCTTTAATAAAAACAATAAAGTTATGGAATTGTTGCATGCATGAAAAGAGTCAAATCTAGTATGTAAATTACTAGCATTATTGTCAAGAATTAATGTTGTTGTTTTTTTTATTATCATACAAATAATTTATTCATCCTACTAAACTTTTTTTTATAAATAGAAATATAAAGTATCTACAAAGTTTCGATTAAGCATAAGCATTTCTTCTAACTACAGTATATGATTCATGAGAAATGTCAAATAAACTATATAGTATCACGAATTTTTCTAAACAGAACTTAAAATCACAAATGTAATGATGAAATTCCATTGATTCAGCTCGAAATTTAAAGCCCAATAAAATTGAAATGGTAATTTTTATCTGCTACGCCCTTGAGCTCTGCTGCGTCATTAAATTTTGCAAGTCAATATTTTTTTTTAAAAAAAAAGCATAGCTTAAAAAATGACGTCTAGCTTAAATTTGGAAAGACCAATCGACTTGTCAAAACATGTACTAATTTGCACGATCTTGTAACTAAAAAAAAAAATTAAAATTAAAATTAAATAAAATTAGCAAAAATAATTTAACTACGTTAATCTTTGTTTTAAATATTATATTATTACTTTAAGGAATTCCAAATCATCTTGATCTTCCGAATGAAGGTTTGGATTATTATATATTTCATCATCTATGATTTAATAATGATAATAAATAACTTGTTTATAAGTAATTGTTTATTCCTTACCATCACTTTCAATGCAATAGTTAATAATAACACTATGATTACCTAAAATTATTTTTGATTATTTTGGCTATTGATAATAGTTAAAAAATAGATTTTAAAAATTTCAAGTTTCACCTGAATATCTGCGACTTCGTCTAAAGCTTCAAAGTCAAATTTAGCAGATGATCTGCAATTGGCAATATTTAAAGTATTGAATTAAAGTATTGAAAAATTTAGGTTAACGCTGTGTTATATCATTTTTTTTTTATACTTTACATCTTTTATATTATCTTTCATACGATTCAAAACATTAAATAAAATATTTACCTAAAGTTTTAATTATTAAATGATCGGCAAATTATCATAAGGCCACGCAAATTTGGTCACGTTACATGAAAATTTTAAATCGACCTGGAGACCCAGGTTTTATGTTTATTAATAAAAATTTTTACTATAAAAAACCATATTACTTGATTGAATACTGAACTGATCAAATGAAATCTTTTTTTAGACGAGTTTTTCATCCTAAATCATTTCATACATTATGAATAAGTCATAATTCTAAAGTTTTAAAAGAATGGGACGGTTACATGTTGAAAAAGAAACAAAATTAAAATATTTTTTGAAGAAATATTAGTTTCATACTTATCACCTGACATGTGGTATGCAGTTTTGTAAAATTTAATACATTGAAAGTATTAATTGGAAAAACGATTTCAGCACAATGCATTGCTTGGAAAGCTACATGTCAATATGATACCAATTACTTTCATATTTTGAAGACTGCAACATGTAAGTTGAAATAAAAGAAAAAAAGCAAAGAAAAGAAATTTGTAAAATCAAGTAAACAGAAAGACATTGAATAATAAAAGAATTCAATAAAATAAAGCTTAAATCTATAAATATTTGCGCCAATAAAATTATACTTTAAAGTCACGAGATAAAATTTCTATTTTTTGATTGAAATCCAAAAAGTGACACGGCTGTGTAACGTGAACCTAATTGCAATAGTTGGTTTTATTTGTCTTTTTGTAAATAAATTTGTTTCTTTTTAATCCTTCATAATTTAAAGAATAAATTATTTTAATTACCTCCCTTACGAAAATAGAAGGTAAACCCAAGAATTGAAAATCAATTAAAATTATCACTTTTTTTCTTAATTTTATACTCTAATTGAGTATAAAATTTTTAAATTTTTATACTAAATTCGTCCATTTTTTAAAGCAGACTAAAAAAAAATCCCATGTTTTTACATTTCAAGCGTGAAAATCTAATTACAACGAAGTCTGTTTTTCTGATTTTTAGCTGCGGATTTTAAATAATATGAAAATCACCAACCTATTGTAAAAAAAAAATAAAGAAGGGATCGACTCTTTTATTTGTTTTTTTTTTTTTTTTTAAGGTGTTACGACGCTGACTGTTGATCCCATTGCACTTAAACCTAGTCAACAAGTTGACACTAGGCACCATTAGTTGGTAAAGTGCGAGACCTAAGCAATCTCAGGTATTTCCCTATTTTTCAAGTTATCCACCATATCGTGCGCATTCCCCTCGATGTTCCCATCTAAGTATGACATTCTAACTGGCAACTCAAACTGCATATTAGATCCGTATTAGGTACTTAGTATCAAAGGTACTATCAAATTTGGATAGAGGATCATCTCAGTCATAGTGAACGTCATCACTACATTTACAAATGGTCTTAGTAAACTATAGCCAAACTCCAATTACTTGGTTTGGCTTTATCACTACTATATAGAAAGTCGCAGGGTAGTAGGGCATAAATAGGGTTTCTGAGACAGATTTCAAAAGATATCCAAAAAAAGATTTTTGATCGCCCACGAATCAATTTTAGCTATATAAATCAACTATAGAATTAAAGCTTCTAGCCAATTTTAACTCAATTCTAGATGATGTTAT